CTCACATCCTTTTAATCCATATATTCCAGCGCATTATCGACTCGCCTACATACATTTTTTATATTTTTGGAGACCGTTAAAATAATAAAGATATAAATAAAAGGATTTGGGCCGGCAGCCCATGCTTCTTCTGCTTGAGCTCAGAACCAGGCCTGTCAAGAGGGGATCCGAATTGTCAACTTTGTGGAGAGAGAGAGTAAGGAAACTGTTAATCATCTGATCTGATGTTTTTGTGTAGAATAACAAAGGAAATTTGGAACTTAGCTTCTCTTTCATTGCCAGAACTAGCTAAAGTACATTCTAATAGTTTGTTTCAAAATGTGCAATTATGGTTGAATCATCCTAGACACGAAGAAATGTATAGTATGATCTTCTTATTGGGATGGAGATTGTGGAAGATGCGTAATGCAATTCTGTACAATATAACAAAGGAAAGCATATTATTCATGTTATCAATGTGGCTCTGCTGGATAAACAGGTAGGAGCTGCAACTTTAAATTCTCATACTCAAGAAATATATCAAAACAAAGTACTACAAAGTAGGTTGTGCTTGATGTATGCATTGCTTACTGCTGCTTGGTTGACGCACCGTGGAATTCTTCTTATCAAAATTAAAAGCAGGTTTAGGGTAGTCCTTGTTTAGCAAAGAAGGCACTAAACTATTTTATTAGAAGTTTCTCGATCGGCCAGACTTTAACTTCTTTGCAGGCATCATCAAGTAACTTATCCCAATAATGACATTGGTGACTTTGGGTAAGTCTTATATTAAATGATATAATTAAACGAGTAGATTGATAACACATACTTTTCATACTGCCCTTGAAATAGATATACTAAACAATCCATATATATGTTTTTTCTTTTTCTTTTTTAATTTATATTTATGGCCAAATCAAATCAAATCAAAGCGTTTGGAATTGTCTAACCTTTTTCACAATTAGGTTAGCTTTGGATTCGGTTCAACTTTAAAATTTGGAGAGTGAATAAAAGAAAAGATGAGAGAGGCAATAGGCAAAGACGACGACGCGTGCGTTTGGTTGGACGTGAGACAGAGAGAGAAAGAGTATATAAAATTTTTAATTTAATTTTGGGGTTAATTAGTAAAAGCAGACCACAAGGGACAAAGACACAGCTTCTGGTTTTAATTTGGCCCAACTTGCTTTTTCCTTCACAATCTATACATACACTCACGTTATGCATGAATGTACATACATGTTTTCTTGTGATATATTCAATTTCCTCTTTGGAAACTGCTCTTTTGATTGACTTTTTTGTTTAACCCAAAAAAAAAAAATCTAAATTTCCTTTCTTTTTCCCCTTTTTTTCCCCCTATTGAATGATATTGTCAAATTTAAATTTAAATTTATATTGAATGGTTTTTAATGTGAATTTTCCTTAATATTATTACTGTCTCTTCCTAAAAAATTCCGGATTCTGTTCCCATTTGGTTTGTGTGCTTCGTTTGCCTTTCCTCATTTCTCAATTTCTCATCATCTTTCCTCTGCAACAAAAAAAGTGGTTTGTTTTCTCATCTTTCCCCTTTTAACTTCTTTTCTCCGCAATTCGGTTTCCGCCTTTGACGAAGAATCTAGCCTTAAGTTTTCATTTACCTCTTCCGTTTCTGTTCATTACCTCACCAAACTTTCTCAGATCGATTCCTTTTTTTTCTTCTCCATCTCTTTGTTTTGATTTTTGTCTTTCTGGGTTTTTTTTTACAAGCTCGATCGAGAATCGGTTGGTGGGTTATAATCAAAAGAATCTCTTTGTGATTAGGCTTAAAAAGTTGTGATATTTTGAACGGATCTCTGTTTGTTTTGGCCATAAAGGTTATTGTTTTCTGATTCTTATGTGGCGTTTTTGGAATTTTTTGTTCTGGGTTGTTGATTTTTCTTTGCTTTTTGTCTTGGTTGTGATTGGTTTAAGAGTTTGCTGGTTTGTTGTTCCTGTTCTTAGATGTGGCAGTGCTAGTTTGGACTTGAGGTTTTTGCTAAAGTTTTGATCTTTTTATCTTATTTACTGATGCTATTCATGTTGTAGCTATGAAAATTGTTATCATTCGTTTCAACTATGTAGCTCATGTCTGTTGCAACTGCCATTGGTTTTTATCCTCTATAGGTTGCTTGATTTTAAAATTAAGGTTTCAAATTGATAGTGCAACTTTTGTATCTGATTAATCAAGTAAAAAGCTTAAAATGTGATTGAGTTTATGGTCTTAAGATTAGGCATTTCATATCTGACTTTTGCTTGCATCTTATATTTGCTCAGTTGCATCATTTTTTGGCTGAGTGAGAGCGCTTTCCGCTATGACCATGTATCTTCAATCTAGGACCACTTTTTCTTCTTCTAATTGAATGCTTAAGTGTTTTTTTTAATTGATATGATTGTGAAGCTAGTTTCTTTGTCTTTGTTACTGAAAGATGTTTCCTCTTCTTTTTTTTTTATTGTAGTTTCCAGCATTGGCCACACTACGGAAAGTGGTGAGAGTGTCCTGAATTCTCAAGTGTCAAGTGTGGTTAAAGCTAGGATGCAGGGAGAGAGAGCCAGTCTCGGTTCTTTATCAGAGGCCTTGAACTTTGAGCATGGTTCTACATCTAGTAATGCTGTGACAGAACGGGAGTTTCGTTGGGAGGATATTCACAATATTGATCCTAATGAATTCGAGGATTACATGAATTCAACTGCTGATACAAATACTACTTTTCCAAACTCAGTGTATCCTGAGCAACGCGACTTACACAGGTTTAGCCTAGGTGAGGCTAGCTCTAGTGGTACGAAGGACGAAGGCGCTAGTCACAGCAGGCAATTGATGGAAATTGGACGCTTTGAGGAACGGAGAAATGACAAACTTGAGTTGAATCCTATGTTTTTGCAACCGTCTAATGAAAGCCGTACGGTTCAAAATGTTAATCTGAATGCAGAATATAATGAGCATCTTGAGCATATGAATCAGTTCATGGGTCATCCTGGACTCAGGTCTGGGCTTTTACCAGAAAACAGTGTTAGAGCGGATGCCTCTGTAGATGGTCGTCGTGCATCCTGTAAAAGAAAAGCTCTTGATGGGGGCATTGGTCAGTCCTCTTCAAACAGAGGTTTTCGTGAGTTCCAACGTGGAGAGAGCAGTTCTTGGGCCCCTGTTCCTGCGTTTTGTAGCCCAGCAAATGATTTGAACATATCTCTTGACCATGGTCCAAGGGGATTAGTCTCAGGCGCTGTTCCAAATCTGTCTACTCCTTCCATCACAGAGAGCTCCAGTAGAAACTTCTCTGTCAGGGTTCCCACAAATCAGCAAGAAACTGTAAACCCAGCTGTCTTTTCTGCAGGAAGTGTTATCAGGCGACCGGTTGCTCCATCCTTTAGCACACCAGGACTTCTACCAGCAGATCAACATCCGATCGATTTGGGATATGGAAATGCTTTAGGCAGTTTTGGTTCTCAGAACCCAAATGCTTCTGCTACTCGTATCCCTCCTGTTTCAAGAACTATGGTACCACCATTTCAATGGAGTGTGAGCCCAGTAGCAGCGGGTGGGTCATCGAGTTCTGCTGCTTCTGTTGACAGAAATGTCGTTCATCGAGATGAAACCAGATCAAGAAGCAACATTCTGGAGAATCCCTTTTTCGTTCCGGCTCCAGACTTGAGAAATCTGGCCCACAGTCATATTATTAGAAATGCAAGTGGTGCTGGACATGTTGGATCGTCGTCATCCAGGACAAGTGTTCAGCCATCACCGTCTAATCCACCATGGACTCCTTACCAGAATCACTCGCCAAATAATCAAAGAAGATTATCTGAACATTTCCGTAGGTCATTGCTTTCTTCCCTTGCTACAAACCAGAGAGCAGCTCGTTCCTTGGTCCCTCCTGCCTCTCCGGATGAGCATGTGCTTCAATCTGGTGGAGATAACAACTTTCAGGGGCAGAATCGCTCTTACTCCAGAACAGGTCCAAGACAAGGGCAAAATGCAATTGGCACTCCTCATAATTTGCGGGGCTTGGCATCCGCAAGTCGAGGAAGAAGCAGACTGGGGGCATCTGAGGTAGTTTCATATAAATATTAGTGTTTCTTATGGATAGTTTGTCTGATTTTGGTTCATATTGACAGAGTTGACACTGCTTCTCTTTTGAAACAGATCCGCACTGTGTTGGAGCACATGCGTAGGGCAGGGAACTTGCGTTTTGAGGTATGGTTTTTGCTTATAAACAAAAAGATATTACTGAAGCAGATTCCGACTAGACGAATGAAAATTCTTACAGATGCTACTTTCTCTTTTATCTAGTAGATGAAAGCTAGTCAAATTAGAAAACCTTAGTTTTACTACCTTAATGGTTGTTTAATATATTTGTTCTTCTTTTTTCAGGATGTTATGCTTCTCAATCAGTCAATGGTGCTAGGTGGCGCTGATATTCCTGACCGATATAGAGACATGCGACTTGATGTTGACAACATGACATATGAGGTAAAGCCAGAGAAACCCCATAATCATTTATTTGCTCATCATATAACCGTGAGTATTATTAAATCTGCAGGAGTTGTTGTCTCTAGAAGAGCGGATTGGAGATGTTTGTACCGGTCTGAATGAGGAAACCATATCAAACCGATTGAAGCAACATAAATTTAAAAGTACTACCAGATCTCCACAAGAAGTAGAGCCATGCTGTGTTTGTCAGGTAAGAATATCAGATTTGCGCTCGTCGTGCATCCTTCTTGTAGGATATGTGTCACAGTCCTGTTAAATATCATGAATTGCAATATTTGCTTGGCTAAAACTTGGTGCAACTACTGCAGGAGGAATACAAGGAAGGTGAAGAAATGGGGATGCTGGAATGCGGGCACGACTTCCATAGCCATTGCATCAAAGAATGGCTAAAGCGGAAGAACCTTTGCCCAATCTGCAAAACCACAGGATTAAACACTACCGAGAGAAGAGAATGAATTAAAGACCTTAAGCTGTTGAGCTATACCATTCGCTGAAACTTCCTTGAATCTTCTATACCATTGCAGCCTCATCAGAACACCGCAGGCAAGTTGGTCTATGCCCTTTTTTGTTTATTTGGTGTTTGCGTTTGAGGGTTTGATGATTCGGAGGTAGCGATTGGGTGCTCAAAAGATAGGAATGAAGAGAAGTAATTGAGGGAGCTAGGAAGGAAATGAGGAGAATCAAAGAACAAACTTTGGATCTTCTGAATTTGTTTGGATAATTAATTTTTTTTCTTTTTTCTTCTTATGATTACTCATTAAAAGAACCAAGAAGCTTGTAAGCTGATTTGGCAATTTATAGATTTTTATGGATGATTGATTTATGTAATATATTTTTCTTAAGTGCCATCTATCAACATAGCAGAAAGTTATTCTTATTCTTTTGATTCAACGAGGACCGTCCGGATTGATGCTAGTTGAGTATATTCTTCTTTATGATCAACTTCAACAGAACTATGAACATATGTTTCATCGTCGATGTCTCTACTTCACCCTCCAAGGTATCAAACTTCACACAACATGGTTTTGTGGTTTCTAACCATTTTGAAGACGAGTATGGTGGATTGGAAACTTCAACGCTAACTCATAACGATACATTATGACCAAATTGCATCAATTCTAAGTTCGAGGAGACCTCCAACGAAGGGCATCTAGTGTTTCTCTATGGTCCAATTGGAAATATCATTTAAAGAGTTAAGTGACAATTGGTTGATACTTTTGACTTTGTAAAGTGGTTTGATAGTGATTTAGTACTCTTTTGATTCATTTTCTATCATTTTAACAATTTAACCTCTAAAGACTAAAAAAATTTCCAATACGAAATATATTTCTAAAGACATAAAAACCAAAAAAAAAGTACTTGAATAAAATAGTAAAAACCGTATATTATATAAAATTTTTATATCCTTTGGTTCTTGTGGTTTCAGTCTTCAAGACTTCAACATAGCATAGCATAACATGTGGTGCGGCTCGAACTTGGGCACATATATTCTATTTTTTTTGTTTGTTTATTTAAAAAAATTAATTATTTAATGGGCCAAATAGATTGCTTGCAGCCCAAACTTAATTAATTTCGCTCAAGTTAAGATTTATTTGATTTCAAAACAAAATGACCGTTATAATTACCTTTAATCAGGTTTTTGATCAAGCGTAGATTGTTTTAAATTCAAAAATTGAATCGACGAACGCTTTAAGACCGTTACAGTTTCTTCGATTCGGATCCAAACCTAAACCTAAACCTAATCGAC